GATGAAAAAAAAAAAATAACAAAAACGTATATAATGATAAACATACGTTGTTTTTTTTTCATTTGTGGGAAATGAATCAATACATGAATTCATAGAATCAATTATACAAGTTGGATAAAATAATTTTTTATTATCTATATATTATTACGTTATTATCTATATATATATTACGTGCATAAAATACGTTATATAAGTATTATTTGTAATGTTCGACTAACAAGGTGTGTCTCATCGATTTCAATGAAATTTGACAGGATGATAGGTTTAGGATATTTACAGTAAGCGTAATCAAAATTATAGCCATGACAGTCAACTAGTTTTATAGCATGATCGTACGGAACGCTTCATCTTAACAGCTACTGCCGTGTATATCTTAATATAAACTTTTACAAATTTCTTTTTGCCATAAATTGAGATTTTTCATACTAGATAATTTTAATCCTGATTTCTAATTAAAATTTAATAATTTTTCTAATAAAATATCCCTCTATCATCACCCTTAATATCCATTTTCACGCTATATTATCTACTTATTTCATTATATTTATACAAGTATTATTTTAGTCATTGATTTTTATAAGCTTATTTTAATTGTTGCAAAGTAAAATCATTCATTAACAAACAATTAAATCCCACGGCATAAATCCAAGTTTCCATAACATTCTCATCTATTAAATATATATACAAGAACATATTTTTCAGAGATAACTATATACGATGCAAAAAAAAAAAAAAAAAAAGGAAAAAAAAGGATATATCATTATAATAATCATTCGATCTTGTGAAGTGTAAATTGGTAATTATTACAAACACCGAGTAGACGCCTCTAAGCAAGGGATAACTTCGTATTCTAAACGGCAAATATAAATCAACCTTCACCCAATAATACAATCGCGCGTCCAATTACAACAGATAAATACATCCCAATGCGAGCATAATTCAAATCGGTGAAATACGGTTCCTGCGGACTAGGTTGTACACAGCGTGTCTAACAACACTGTATCCAACAGCGAACAACATATAACCGTAAATCGTTCTACCTGTTCGCCACGAAACCAGCTGGAATGCAACTTTCCACATGGGCTTAAAAGTGTACCGACAACTGGACGAACAGCCTCGATTCTCCCGCCAATCTATTCTGAATCGGTGTTGGCACGCGTGAACACAAGGTCTTCACCGTAATTGCGTATCCCCACGAACCACAATTCCAACTAATAGCACCACACCGACAATCCATCTCGAGCTACTGTAGCGGCAACTATATATTTACGGCAAGGTGTATCTGTTCCACGGTTTTTTAACCGCGGTTTCTTTCTTCCAAACGTTTCTTGCATACCTACGCGTCGCGGGAAAAAGAAACTCGCGTGAAAGGTAACGCATCGCTTCCAGTTAGATAATTTATTGCACTCGGGGATACGGTCGTTGTAATGAGAATTTTTTTAACAGCCGTTTATCAAACTCATGTTTTATTCGTTTTAAAATTCGTTGAGGTATAAAGTTTTATTTTACATACGAGTAATGATATCTTCGATCGGGTAATTTTTAATGTATAATGTGTAAAATAAAAAATATTCTCGGTTGAAAACTTTAGAATTTAGAATTGAATGGAATTTTTTTTTTTTTTGTTTCTATTGACACGAATAATGGAAAATTAATAATACACGTAAATATAACGTGATGCTAAACATGTTAATTAAATATCTACGTTAAAATTTTAATATGAAATCCCAATTCGTTTCGATATTCTCGTACAATTTCATTGTTGAGAAGATTTTAATTTTAAATGAAATTTTATAGGTTTAAAAAGCAAGCAAAAATAATAAAATTTTTTGATATTCAAGAGTGTTTAAGAAAATTTAGCATATAATGTTTTACCATATTTCTTTAAAGAAATACAACAATTGTTTGGATTATAAAAAAATGACATCATGAGATTGCAAACAAACTCTTTGAACACAGGCTCGCTGTTAACTGTTTACAAAAGTATCTAATTAGTAATTAGTTATTTGCTTACTTAGAAATTACTACGTAATTAGAAAAGTCTACCATTAATTTACACTGTAAACGAATAAGATTCTCGAATCATTTGCATGTTCCAATATAGTATTACAGCATATAGTACCTACAGCATTTATATAACATTCAAGTATTGAACAGCCGCGAGCAAAAAATTTTCACTTCTAAACTTAGAAAAATGCATGTACCAGCTTTCTCCAATCATTTAAAATTTACATGCGTTGTCAACATTTTTCTCATAACTTTTACTGATCTCTAGATTGCACCAGAACGAATAGAAATATTTCGTTTGGTGTTTAATCTAAAGAAAAGTGATAAAAAAAAAATCATAGATCGAGCACTATCGAATAGAAAATTCGTTTTGTATCCTAATTATTTATATAATCAATAACTATATGGCACTTACGTGTAATATTCACTAGCTGAGTTCATAAGATAAATAGCGTTAAGAACAGCTGAATCTCATTCGTTGCGCATTATCCTCACATCGTATATCATTCTTGTCTTCTTACTTGTGTAATGAGATGTAATAAGAATTTTACAATTATCCTCGCGATTTAAATAAAAATTGAATATATTATTTGCAACGAGTACGAAATCAATACGTTTGAAAAAATATATAGAATATTAATTTAAAATAATAGCAATTGTATTGATTGTATAAATAAAATAAATTGTCATTAAGAATTAATTATATTTCTATATTTATGTTTATCCATGCTTCTGAAAATTTTATCCGAATAATTTTATAATTGACAAATTGTTACTACCTATATTTTATATAGATATATTCTGATAATTAGAATTCTATGCAAAAAAAATAAACAAATTAACGATAAATAAAAATAATAAATACAACATCTCTTGCAAACCAATAAAAATTACTTTGTCAGAGTTCTATATTTCATAAATTAATGATAATCACACTTAATCTTAAAACGTACATCGATATATCATTAGTATAACGTATAAACAATCATAAAAAGTAGAAAAATCTAATCGAGGGAGAACTAACTTGAAACAATAGATATTTGGAATGTAATAATGAAAATCTGTAGGCTATGAATAGAGAGAAGAAAAGGAAACGTGCAAAAACTTTATAAAATATTGCACGGGTTGCGATCGTTTGTCCCACTTTTGTTTCACACTTTCCAAATCAATGGTAATAACAATAATAATCTTGGTAAAATATAGCGGTAATAAAATTGTTTTAAAACGTGTAAAAATTCGTGTAACCAGTGATCACACGAGGCCAACACTGATTGCGCGAAGACAGGCAGCGGTAACAGATGGTCACGGTGGCAGTTAACGCGTTAATGAATAATAAAGTGGCAATTTGGTCGGTTTATTTATATCTCATTCAAAAGAGCTTGTTCGAAAGAGCCGCAGTGATCAGGATGATACGCGCCCCAGGCAACCATAGGCACCGGTGTTATGACGTACAAGATGTAGACCGCAAGCTTAAAGAATTTATAATGATCAAACCGCGTAAATAGTGCTTGAGCAGTACATAAACTACTTAATTCTATTGTGCCTTCACTTTTTCACGCCTATGTGGCTATTCTATTTTTATAACTTTCATTTCTGCCAGATGGAAATAGTAGATATATCATTTCTGATAATATCATATCTTGTCTTATCTAGAAAATCTTGATTATCAGAATTCATAATAGAAACCCGTTTGTATGGAATTAAGAGACGTTTTGATTAAAATAATATAAGTATATATATTATTTTTTAATAAATTTATTCGATAGATGTGACCTTATGTCATGATAATTTAATTAATTGGAAACATTTTTGATTGAATGATTTTCGTTTATGGATTACTATTTTAGGTTAATTATTTATAAAAAAAATTGTTAATTAAGCAAATATGTCAATGTTTTTTGTAATATTAATGCCAATTATTAATGCTATATTATAATATTAATATTTTTTTATAATATTATATAACGTGGCAGATGTTTTATCATATTTATCATAATTCTAAAAAAAGGGAAAAACTATTTAGATAAATATATAATGACCTTGACTTTGAAATTTTCTCATTATAAAGATAAGATATTGAAAGATTAGTGCTATCTAAAAAAAAACAATTTCATTATATTATTTCATTATATAGATTAAGAAAATTTTTATTGTACGTGATGTGATCAATGATTTCTTGATTGCAAATAGGTACTGACAATTTTGTGCTTTTTTAAGAATTAATAAAATGAAAAATTTTAATTAGACACAAAAACAATTAAACTACAAGACTACTTTTTATATTTAAATAACGTTTCGTTGTTGAGTCATCTTTTAAAAAAAAATTATTCATGTGATAAATCTTCATATTAAAAAATCTCATAAATAATTTCTTATAAATAAGAAAAAGATTTAAAAATTTGAAAATATGTTGTACTACAAGATGATTTTTTTGAGAATGGACTCTAAAAATTGTAATTTGTAAAAAAATTGAAAAAATAAAATCATTGTTGAAAAATGATCAATGACAATGACTACATTACATTTGCATACAAACAAATATAAATGCAGCAATGGAATATTATTCCAATGGTTTTAAATCCACTAAAGAGAAAATCATCAATAACCACTTATGTACTTACGTTTATTCACGAAAGAAAATAAAACAAAAATATTTAATAGAAGAATAATAACGAAAGTTTGATAATTTACTTTAACTCTTTCGCATTTATAGCATTTACTTTCTATCTGTTCATATATTATAAATATAGACAGGAAATATTATAACTTAAAATATCATTTACGTGATATTATTGACAATATGATAGATTATCTACCTTAAGTGTCTTATCACGTGGAATATTTTATATTTTTAAAAATAAATTTTTTATTTTTACTTTGTGAGAAACGATTAATTATTAGAATAGATACTTTCAAACAAGTATTGCTTTTTATATTGATCTGAATATTAATTAAATATTTTTAATCTCTGCAAATATATATATAATACTTACCTCTATATTCTTTGAATCCCATTTAAATCTTACATTGTTGAATACAATCGGCTGATATACATACATTTCAATATAGGTATATATCTTCCTGATGATTAAATTCTATCTTCCAATGAAAGTATAATTATAACAAATCTTGACGTGTTGAATAAATGTAATAAATTTTGTGATCATTTGACAACCATCACTTATAAATGATCACTTTCTGCATTTCAATTTTGATTTGATATTATTGTTAAGGATGACGAATACAACGAATTGACATGAACAAATATATACTGGAAGCATAAATCTTATTGTAATGGTTTTAACACCTGTGTCCTCGACTCTAAATTTATTCTCGAGAAACTTAGTGCACCATTGTATTTTATAATATTTTATCAGAAATAAAATCCGAATAATAGAAATAGTTCTTTGGAATAATATGTAATATAATTTTTGATTTATATACTATCAAAAAAATTTAATTTATTAATGTTCTACAATTTCATCATTTTACTTTAATAAAAGTACGTGATATATAAAGAAAATTTATTACATATTGTTAAAATATGAATGTTGTTGCCAATTTCGTTGTCCACATGAGCCAACTATTTCACGACAAAGAAATCTATCTTTTAATCATTAAACCGTCAAAATTAAATTTACTCCATCATTTTTCCAACAAAAATATAGGAATAATCGGTTCATCAATAATGAACTTATATTAGAATCTTTTTTCAATATAATTCTGAAAGAATTTAACGAATTTCAAATAATCATTCGTAGAAATTTCATAAATAAAATCAAGTAGGCAATAAATTTATAAACGAAACAATTTTGTTCAAAATAAAATCCCAAATAAAATTCTTCAAACAGAAGATTATTAAAGCTAGAGAATAAAATAGAAATTATTATTATTTTTTTTCATATTAGATTTGATCATATTAAATACATAAAAATATAATTTTACATAATTATATATATATATATAATATTAATTAAAAAATTTTTTTATTTTTTATAGAATATTCATTTTATGTAATTATATTTTTTTATCGAAAATAAAGCAATATTAAAACGTGAAAATAAAGTGAAAATATTAATATAAAAAATAGATAAGTATAAAGCTGAAAAAAAAATACTTTACCATCAACCATACGTCTCACTACTTCTTCCGGATTAGCCCCTGCATATTTTAAATTGATGTACATCAGTAACAATGCTTCCCAAGGATACTGGAAAAGTTCTACAAGTTTGCTACTGTGCTCCAACAGAATTTCCACATTTTCACCTATAACATAATCAAAATAAATAGTTTTATTAAAATAAAATATATATTCAATCAAGTTCGATTTTATGCAACTATTAACACAATTTTATTAATAAACCATGCATAATTAAAAAGTTTAAGAACTGTTAAGAATGATTGAATCCGTTTAAAAAAATAAAATTTATGATGATAAGGTAATAAAATCTAACGGGTGCCACTAATTAATATATATGAATTATTTACGCAATGAATCTGACATATACTAAAAAATTGATTTCTTTAATGATGCATATATTATATTTCCTTGCGTGATTTATTATACATTACGATGCAAAAATAATATACATAGGTTATGTTCGATTATAGAAATGATATACCTAACCTATATCTAAATGAGCACGTGCTAAATGAATCGTACATCGATTAATATTTTTATTTCGATTAAAAATTATTATATCGAAAGATATTATCTTTAATGATATATTTATTTTTATAAAATAACGTAAACTTTTACGAATCTTCAAAATTTCTACGAAAAATCAAATGATGGTGAAAATAAAACAGAACTCCGAAATCAGCTTACTATTCGCGGCATGCCACGTGGTCTCCGATTCATCCCGAAGTTGCCCGAAAAACGCGGTTCGCGCATGCGCACACGCTCAGAAACCTCGTGGCGCCGTACATATCGATTCGAAACAATCAACAATACATGTTACTCCGGTTGGCGAACCGAAGCCGTTCTGCGTAAGGGGTGGGAAATAGTGGTTCGGTAGGGGATATAATTGTTTCTGTGCAAGAGAAATAAGTGAGCGAACATGAACAAGGACAATAATTCCCCAGCCATTATAACATGATGTATTATATATATTATGGCAGCCAATAGTAGCGCGTCCGCTCACCACAGCTCCGCCTATAAGAGGCATTCTGGGTCGTTTTTAAAAGGCGGAAATAATCCTCCCCTCCTGCCGACCTACGTTACGTTCTCTTTCTCCTTATTCCGTTGCTGTTTCTCCTCCTACATAGCGGACTGCCGCTTTTTCCAAGTGGACCGAATCTACTCCTCCCTCTTTCACGTTGCCATCCCCCTACGTTCTATCGAATAGACACCACGACGCGGGCCGCAGGTGCCGCTCCACCGGGACGCCAATCGTTGGGTCCCTCCTTTTCTATGCGCAGGTGAACCCGGCCAACCACGTGCTCCGTACCCGCGCGTATGCGTGTTTAACTCTTTGGAAGTGGCATGCTGCCTCCGTTAAAGAGCGAGAGAGGAGTGGAGAGCGCAAACATTGGAGTGGGAGAAAATTAAATTCTCCAAGAGAGACACAGGGGGAGAGAGAGCGAGAGGGAGGGAGAGAAAAAGAAAAGAGAGAAAGAGAATCTAATAGAGGGACTGCCCTCTGACCGAAGAAGGTCTCCGACGATATGGAGAAGAAAAGAGAAAGACCGTTCAATGCCGTCCGTCCTTGCTTTCTGTTCGTCCACGATATTGCTATCATTCTTCTCTCTTTTTAATCTTTTTTTTTTTTCAATCAATCTTTTTTAAATCAATCTCATTCCCTCCTCTCGTTAAGTGTCCTTCTTGTTAATCTTACCTGTGATACGAGACTCACAGGTATGTTCTATATTGCTGCTTTCCCTTCGTTTCGCCATAATGCCGATGAGGTGCAACTTACTATACAAAGAAAGACATGTATGGTTGAAAACTAGTCTTCATTGAAGGAGAAAATACACGGAATTTTTTTACTTGGATGAAATGGAAAGTAAAGAATATGGGTATAGGTGTAAGTAATGGAGCACAACCCGTAATTCCTTATAAGCTCATAGCTCGCGACATACTTCTTGTATATTTAGCTGAGACATGAAACTCTAGTCCTGTTTAATCTTGGCTGGTAATAGAAAGAATGTGTAAGAGGAAGAGGAATAGATGGTCAAAACAGATAAAGAAATTTAAATGCCTGTGTTCGATATTACTTGCTTGACTGGATCCAAGGAAGATTCTTGCTCAGCGCAGTGGAAATGATGCCCAAGCAAAGAAGAATTTCCAATGTATTTAATCCTAGTATTAGATAGGTATAGATTTCATGTATGAAATTTTTCTAAATAATCTGACAAGATTATTATTGCTATAAAAAATTTCCTCTATTATAAAGAAAAATTTTTGTCATATATATATATATATATATATATATATATATATAAATAAATCAAAACTGCAACGCTATATTTTAATGAACTAAGATTGAATATAAACATGTAACATAATTTATAATTACCTCAACAGAATTTATTTATCTATCGTAATATAAGGAAGAACTTGCAAAATGAACTGTAAAGTTATTATTACACGTTGGAAAACACTTTTGAACAAGATCAGATGGCATGCTATGCATGACACGTTCACATTTGAGACGATCGATAAAGTATGTAATACTTTATCGCATGTAATTCGCGAATGGTAAAAGGATGATGATAAATAATGAAAGTTTTTGACACCATTTGAATAATTAAGTTGATGAAAACATTAAAGTGAAATAGAATCAATTATCTTGCAAGTAGAGAAAGATATTGGCGTATCTATGATATTAACTATATTATTGCTTACATTAATTTCTAATGCTTTGAAAAATTATTGCAATTTGTAACAAATTCAAGAAACAAATCAGTATACATTTTCAAATAATGTTTCAATTTTAATTTTTCTTATTTTATTTTATGTAAAGAAAGATAAAATATTTTAAAAACATTAAGTAAATATTTAAAATATATTCTTTCTCAATTTAATATTCATCTGCATATAATTTTTTAACTATTTGATTGGATCCAATTTGAAATACTTTAAGATAAACCTACTCCATTTTTCTACTAACATTCATTTAAATTTTTCCAATATTTTTAACTCTTAATATTATTTTTACTCAAAATTGTTTATTCGAAAAATAGTTGAAAGTTATTAATAAGAAATATTAAAATAACAAAAATGTTAATCACATTTGAAACAATATTTTTAATAAACATTCTCTCTGATATTATAAGTAGGACTGAAGATATGTTTTTAATATGAGCTTTACGATGCAAGACGATATTTGTGTAGATTGATACAAGCTACAATTGCACTTGAATGTATCCAGCATACAATACGGTAATTTGAACAGAACGATACAAAGTCCGCACAAACTCGGTCGTCCTCTTGATATTAGAAATAATTTTTATTATTTTTATTAAAAATTTTTCAAAAACAAACCCATAAAATTATGAATATGGTATACTTTGTATATGACAATACAATATTTAAATATTTATTCTTACAATAAAGAAATCTGAATTGGAGCAAGGAATCTATGAGAATCTATGAGAAAGAATTTATATATTTATAGGAAAAGTATATTATCATTTTTATTCGATCGTTTTATTTTCCTAACATGAAATTAGTAAAGTAACATGTTGAAACAAATTTATCATAGTTAGCTAAATAATCTTAGAATATCATAAGCAATTGATATCGTATAATTTTGATTCACAACTATGTACCAATGAATTAGCATTCATATTTACAGTTTAAAAAGGAAATAAATATAAAGCCAAACCTACATAACGTTCGTATATAATAACCATAAAAGTTATTTAATCCATCAAGCTATCAAAAACAATTATTACGAATCAAATTATAAATAAACAGATTCATGTTTAAACCAACGAGTGAAACTGTAACAAGGCTTTCTCGATGAAGTCGATACCGAGAACTTGAGGAGCTTTTGTAAGCAGTCTCTATGTCGTAGTGGCGTGAGAAGTTTATAAGATTGTATCCTGTCAATCGTCATCATGTCGTTTAATCACGCTGTGAATATTTCACGAGAGCAGAGAAACTAATACTTTATTACACTAAAACATTTAATTAATCATTTACATTTATTTGCGAACACAGAGAGAAATCTCTCGTTCATTAAGGAATACGTTTAGAATTTTATCATTAATACATTTAGAATTAAATTCTTAATAAGTAGATCTAATGAATAATTGTATAAAATTTTAATCAAAATGTATAAAAATATCGTCAATTTTGTTTTCTTGATTAGATTTTTTAACTGCCAAAAATTAGAATGTTTTAAACTTTTGGGGGAAAAAATGAGAATACGATATGATGAAGAACATAAGTTGTATCATTGTTGGAATTAAACGATTTGATGATTAATGATAAATACTCGAAATATGTTATATAAAATAATATTAAATAAATATTTTATTGACATAAAAAGAATATCTAATCTATTTATCAATATTAGTGCTATAATACAAAAGAAAAAGTTATTTTATGTTATTGTTTCCATAGAAATGAATTTATCATTGCAATACAATTATGAAACAAGCCATTAAACGCTCTTCCATCATAAAAGAAAATTTGCATTTTAGCTATTATTATTACTAAAATAATGTTTCCAATCAAAAATTAAAAATTGTAGGTCTAAAAACATCATATTAAGCATCAACAAAAAACAAAAAGAAAAAGATCTATTAAATTAAATTCGTTATGAGTTGACCATTAAATCGTCAAACAATAATTAACTAACGTAAGTCCTACTTCATACGATATGACGAAACATAGATTACATAACAATTCCATTATACCTAAACTCTGAGATAAATTACTATGCATTTACAATTTCTGCATTCTTTCATAACGATAATAGGCAACAATGATTTTAGTAAGATGATGTATAATGTAATTTTTGATTCTGAATTTATTTTAATCATTCTTCTTGTCTGAAGAATATTATAGTACAAATTTTTCATCAAAAATTTGATTATACGCTTCATTCAAGTATCGTAAAAAATAATTACAAACTTTTTATGATATACAGAATTAATAGAATATTTACATACTTTATTTAATCAAATTTTCTGAACTTGAAAAAAACTTTCTTCATGAATTGATTTCTTTTTTCTTTTTCTGCAGATAAAATTTATTATATTAAATCTTGTTATTATAATATCATAGTATATGTATTATTCTTGAACTTTTTTAT